CTTGTGCTTCCACTCACTGGCCACTTTATTAGAAACACCTACTATGTACTTCCACTCACTGGCCACTTTATTATAAACACCTACCTTGTACTTCCACTGACTGGCCACTTTATTATAAACACCTACCTTGTGCTTTCACCCACTGGCCATTTTATTAGAAACATCTACCGTGTTCTTTCACTCACTGGCCACTTTATTAGAAACACCTACCTTGTTCTTCCACTCACTGGCCACTTTATTAGAAACACCTACCTTGTACTTCCACTCACTGGTCACTTTATTAGAAACACATACCTTGTGCTTCCACTCACTGGCCACTTTATTAGAAACACATACCTTGTGCTTTCACTCACTGGCCACTTTATTAGAAACACCTACCTTGTGCTTTCACTCACTGGCCACTTTATTAGAAATACCTACCTTATACTTCCACTCACTGGCCACTTTATTAGAAACACCTACCTTGTACTTCCACTCACTGGTCACTTTATTAGAAACACATACCTTGTGCTTCCACTCACTGGCCACTTTATTACAAACATCTACCTTGTACTTCCACTCACTGGCCACTTTATTAGAAACACTGCCTTATGCTTCAAGCTGCTGCTAAAGGAGCTCAACACGCTTGGAGGAGAACACTGATTGCCATTTCTGTTACATTAGCTAACAGGTGCCCGTGTTGGCTAGCACCATGCTGAGTGAGAGAGAGAGTTGTTACTCATTATACTGTTATTGTTGTTATTTTTTATCTTAATTTTTTAATGTTTTTTCCTACAGCTTAATCTTCTATGTACAGTGTCCCTGAGATGCTAATAAATAACATCCAATTATTATTATTATTATTATTATTATTAGTATATAGTCTAAACAAAACGAGTGAAGATGTGGTGTTTAGTGGAGGCTGCTGATGTGAGGGGTGTCTGGGGGATGTTAGTTCTGAAAGGCTGTGAATGGCGGTATGTGTAGGTTTTACGGTGTGTATGGCTGTGTGTGAATGTTTTGGCTGGTTGGCTCTGTAGCATTTTGTCGATGTTTGTTTATGACTGTATGAATAATCAGACTGTAGTACTCTGCTCTGGTTTTTATCTCCATGAGCTGAGTGAGCAGCCAGTACACACAGACTGTGTGTGTGTGTGTGTGTGTGTGTGTGTGTGTGTGTGTGTGTGTGTGTGTTGTGGAAGGGCATTTAGAGGTTTTTATGGGTGTCTCTCAGACAGACCTGGCACAAACAGCCAAACAGCCAATCAGCTTCCAGCACAGGCCTCCACTGTAATCCATCACACACAGAGAGAATGAGAGAGACAGAGAGAGAGAGAGAGAGAGAGAGAGAGAGAGAGAGAGAGAGAATGAAAGAGTGTCTTATAGTCAGACTGAGAGATGACAGAGAAAGGGAGAGAGACATACAGAGAGGGAGGGAGATTCTGTGTGTGGGTGTGTGTTTGTGTGTGGGAGAGAGAGAGATAGAGAGAGGTAGAGTCAGAGAAAAGAGTGAAGGAGATGCAAATAAAGAAATGGGGAGAAAGAGAGAGAGGGACAGAAAAAGGGAGACATACAGACAGAAAGGGAGAGAGAGATTAATGCTGACAGAGGGAGAGAGAGACAGAGAGAGGGGAGGCAAAGAGAGAGAGGGACTGATTAATACTGACAGAAAGAGAGACAGTCAGGCAGAGAGAGAGAGAAAAGGGGGAGAGATGGAGATGGATAAAGAAAAAGGGAGATAGAAAGAGAGAGAGAGAGAGTTTACACAAACAAATTTAAACAAATTCAAACAATCTCAAATTTGAAAAAAATGTACACAATTGGAGAAATTTTGAATCTTTCTTAGAGGGACACACAAGCCACCTCCCATACCCCCACTCTACTGACCCCCAACACAAATTATTTACATTAAAAATGACAAATATATAATTAGTTTATTAATTAGAGAGAGTGAAAGAGAAAGAGATCAGACAGAGTGTGAGAGAGAGAGAGGAAGAGGAAGAGAGAGAGAGAGAGAGAGAGAGAGAGAGAGAGAAGGAAGCTGTAACCGCACTGTTTGAATATAAAAGTTTTCATATTCACATTCAAATTAGAGGTTAACCACAATGTTATAACAGTATTATAGAGCCACACTGTTAACCACAAACACAAACAGAGAAATGGGGGGGCTGAGTGGAGACAGATGGGGCTGATTCTTTCACTGTGTGTGTGTGTGTGTGTGTGTGTGTGTGTGTGTGTGTGTGTGTGTGTGTGTGTGTGTGTGTGTGTGTGTGTGTGTGCATCAGTGCAGTATGTGGGTCAGAGCAGAACCAAACTTTCTGCACTCTGACTTTCGCAGCACCTTGCAGCACTTTTTCACAGTAGCAATAAAACACTGTTACACCTGTTCTGGAGGAGCTCCCTCAGTGGAACTCAGCAGAGGGCATCTCAGCCCTCCTCCTTCACCCCTCATTGCTCACTAGCAGCTCAACAAAGAGCCACAATATTTCACACACTGAGATACAACAGTGTCCTAGTTAATCTGATAACAGAGTCAGGAGAAAAATATGTTTAATGTTTAATTATATTGATAAAAAATATCGGACTTTTCCAAATTCCATTATGAATGGCATCTGCAAAAGGAAGGTGGAATGTATAGATTAGCATTATGAAGATGTATGTACTCACTGGTTTCTCCAAACCGAGTACCTGAGCCCTGGCTCTCAAAACCACCATAATTAATTAACCATAGTATATGTTAATTACTGCAGTTCAAAATATATCCAGTAGGTGGCGGCAGTGTATTAATAGTGAACTGAACTGATATCTAAAATCAGGCTTGTAGCCAACCAAGCAGAACTTTTTCAGCATCCTACTTTTTTTTTAGGTTTCTTCTTATTTGAAGTATCTGCTGTATTATACACTATATGGCCAAAAGTATTGGGACACCCCTCCTAATTATTGAGTTCCATTGCTAACAGGTGTATAAAATTCAGCACATACCCATGTGATCTCCATAGACAAACACTGGCAGTAGAATGGTTGATACTGTTGAACTCAGTGACTTTAATCATGGTACCGTCATAGGATGCCACCTCTGCTACAAGTCTGTTTGTGAAACTTCTTCTCCAGACAACTGTAAGTGCTAATACTGTGAAATAGAACCACCTATGAGCAACAACAGCTTAGTAATGAAGTGGTAGACCACACACACTCACAGAGTAGGCCGCCTAGTGCTGAAGTGCACAGTGCCTGTCCTCTGTTGACTCACTCACTAAAGAGTTTCAAATTGCATCTGGAAGCAACATCAGCAAATGAACTGCGCATTAGGAGCTTCACAAAATGGGTTTCCATGGCCGAGCAGCTACACACAGGCCTAAGATCAAAAGTGTCGGGGGGGACTGGTGTAAATCATGTCGCCACCGGAGCAGAGTCTGGGTTTGGTAAATGCCAGAACGTTACCTGCCTGACTGCACTGTGCCAGCTGTAAAGTTTGGTGGAGGAGGGATGATGCTATGGGGTTGTTTTTCAGGGGTTGGTCTAGATCCCTTAGTTCCAGTGAAGGGAAATCTTAAAGCATCAGCAGAACAAGACATTTTGGACAGTACACTTACAACTTTGTGTGAACAGTTTGGGGAAGAACCTTTTCTGTTCCAGCATGACTGAGCCCCAGTGCACAAAGCACAGTCCATAAAGGCCTGTTTGGGTGAGTTTGGTGTGGAAGAACTTGACTGACCTGTACAGAGCTCTGACCTCAACCCAGTGAACCCCCTTGGGATAAACTAGAACAGAGATTGTAAGCCAGGCGCTCTCGTCCAACATCAGCGTCTGACCTTACTAATGCTCTTCTGGATGAATGGGCAGAAATTCCCACAGACTCTCTCCAAACATCTTGTAGAAAGTTTCCCAGAACAGTGGAAGCTGTTATAGCTGCAAAGGGGGACCAACTCCATAGTAATGTCTTTGGATTTAGAATGGAATATGTTGTATGTTTTATGTGTAATATTATGTTCCGTATTAACTGTTATAATGTGTATGTGATGTGTGTGATCTGTGCACGTGAGAGGACAATGAGAGGACGTTCTGAACAGTTGTTCCTAACTGTCTATGTGTAGGTTTAGAACAGCTATTGCTTCGGTACCTAATTTGCCAGTGGTCCAGGTCTATTTAAACATGGCCATTTTTTATGTAGGGTGGGTCAGCATGGCGCCTATGAATCGTGCGCACAACATAGAAATAAAGATCAATGCTACTGAAGCAAGGCTGGACTCCTGGTCCTGGTTCTGATTAAGGAGGAGTGGTCCAAACACTCTACAGAATTTAAAGAGTTTATCCCACATCTTGTACACTACATGGCCAAAAGTATGTAGGCACCTGACGGTCACACCTGTTTGAGCTTTTTGGACATTCTCATGGACATTAATATGCATTTGGCTCCCTTTTTCACAGTAATAGCACTTACAGTTGTCTGGGGCAGATCTAGCAGGGCAGAAATGACATGAACTGACTTGTGGTAAAGGTACCATCCTATGACAGTGTCAGTATGAAACATTCTACTGCCAGTGTTTGTCTCTGTTTGCAATGGGCATGGCTAAAATCACCGGAATTCAATGTGGTGTATCTGGGGAGGGGCAATATGAAGATATGCTAGTGTTATCATGATAAATTATATCACAGTACACTTCTAGCGGTATGTCATGGGCATGGTCAGTACTTCAACATCAATGTACTGAAAAAGACATAGACTTAGATTAAGACCACTTATATGGCAATTGAATAAACTGCATAGTAACAAGTAGCACTGGATGTTAACCCGTCCCACCTTATTTTATTAATGTTTTGTTGCAAAATGTTTGATTTTGCAGTTTATTTTTGCGTTGCATTTAGTAGATTTTTTCATTTAGTTGAACTGACCTCAGAAAAACTGGATATCTTGATGCATATCATGTTTTGTGAAAAAGTATTGTGTCTACAACTATCGTGATGTCAAATATTTTTGCCATATCGTCCACACTTACTTCTCTTTCTCTCTCTCTCTCCAGACACCTTCGCTAGTAAAGTGGCCGCCATCCAGGACCAGTATGCGGACGCCTCCATCGGCAACGTGACGGGCAGCAACGCGGTCAACGTGTTCCTGGGCATCGGCGTGGCCTGGTCCATCGCAGCCATCTACCACCAATCCAAGGGCAAGGATTTCCAGGTGGAGCCGGGCAACCTGGCCTTCTCGGTCACCCTCTTCACCATCTTCGCCTTCATCTGCGTGGCCACGCTTATGTACCGGCGCCGGCCGGACATCGGCGGAGAGCTGGGCGGCCCACGGACTGCCAAAGCGCTGACCACCATGCTGTTCGTCAGCCTTTGGCTGATCTACATCCTCTTCTCCTCACTTGAGGCTTACTGCCACATCAAGGGCTTCTAAACACACACCTACGCACATACATACACACACGCATACACACACATAAACGCACACACATACACCAATACCCATACAGAGATATGTACACTCACCTCGCATATGTACACACAGGTTAAACATGAAAAACAACAACAAACAAACAAACAAAACAGAAGCGGAATGAGTAAAGACTACACGGATGAGAAGGAAGCAACAGCGGCCAGAACTCTGCTAACCTGCTTTTATAGTTCTGTTTGATTTTTTGTTTGTTTGGGTTTGTGTTTTTTGTCTCCTCTCCAACATTTGATGTTCCTCTTGAAATGCCTGAAGGACTGAATGTGATTGGACAATTGCTGGCTGGTCAAGACATCACATTGGCTGTGGGTGGAGGACATGAAGTACAGGGACTCTTAAAGGAAAACTCTGTTGTCTTAAAATGTGATTTTTTTCAGAATTTTCACAGATTTGTTTGGTGTTTTTTGTGAAATGAGTGCTTCTAAAGTAAGATTCAGTGCAAACGTTACCTCCGATAGGTTTCCACAGGTTGTAGATCAAGACAGTATTTTCTTTTTGAACTAATGGGGCAGCACAACATTCTCCAACAGTTGTGCTGCCATTTCCTTCTTGTAGTACCTGATAAAGAACAGAACGCATGTAATCATATAACTTGCTTGGGACTATTTACTGTTCTGCTCGTCTTTGAATGTTGTGGGTAGTGGTTTAGTGGTCTGCGCTCCATCACCTTCCATGTCTATGCCCCAAATGGGGGTCAATCCTCGTCATATCTTACTTTAGAAGCGCATATTTTGCACCAACATTGTTCTAAATTACTTTAAAAGCTTGCAAAAATGTTTTTGGAGAAACTGTTGGAATATCCTTTATGTGTATGATGAGTAATAATCAAACTTTTGATGACAAGCCAATACAAAACCAGCCCAGTAGTCAGGAAATATCAGATTTGCAGTCCCTATATGAGAATGGACTTCTGGGAAATGTAGTTCTGATGACTGTATATATTACAAGGCTTGAGACCTTTATGATTACATCTTCAAGTACATCTTGTGGATGACATGCTGTACACGTGTCCACAGAGCACCAGAAAACAGCAAAAAGTGCACTATTGCGGGAATGTAGATCGACAGGCTTTCTTTCAGAGAGATCAGGCCCATTTCCTGCCGTCATGTTGAAGCCATTTTCAGCTCCTAGTTGCTGGTGTGCTGCTGATAATCGATTAGTCTGTGACAGAGTCTCATCATGATAAAAACTGTGGCTACCATGAGACCGGGTACATTGTGTAGGCCAGTTGTCTACAGTCCCAGCCCTAGGGAAGCCCCGCTTAGTATTTCCCCTACTCAAACACATCTTATCCAGCTAATGAAGGGCTTGTTTGTTAGCTGAAGAGTTGAACAAGGTGTGTTTGAATGACGGAAAATAGTGCTGGGACTGAGGCTGCTGTAATTTAAGTAACAGGACAGAAGATTGTGCCACAGACTGAGCAATAGAAGTCTTATCTGACTAAAACTCTAAGAGAAAACTGCTAAAACAACACCACAGCCAGTCCAGGACAAGCTATTGTTTTAACAGAGACTTCATGGTAGACGCACATATCGTTATTCGGTGGGCTCTGGTGACTAAAACTGGTCTGGTTAGGGAACGTCCTGTTTGGAGCTTTGAAGAAGTAAGATAAGGCACAGGGCTAGTTTACCTGCTGGCCTGTCCCGTACAGCTAAACAGTTTTCATCCTTTCTCCTCGGTCACTGTAGAGCAATGCTGTTTTTAGCAAAGGCACACAATCAAACCGAATGGTTTCAATGTAATAATACTGTGCAAATCAAGATTAGCGAATGCTTGGTGGTGAGCCTGTACAAGTCAAACGTGTCCGGACATTTTAGTAACTTAAACACACTACAATAAATGAAATAGGAAGCTTATCAATGCTACAACAGTAGAGTGAAGGTATTTCCAGGCCTTCCCCGGGAGAGCTACCCTCCTGCAGAGTTTAACGCTAGTGCTAATCAAACGTAGCTCGCTCCTGAAGACCTTGATTAGACCTTTCAAGAGCACAGTTGGAGGTATCTGTGTTGGCGTGTGTGCTAAACTACTCAGTGAGGTCTGTAGTAAATACATCAGGGGTGCATCCTTAGGGAAGAGAGCACTGCATACCCAAGTCTAGAACTAGCTGATGGACTGAATGCTGTGTCCAATCCAACTAAATTTAGCCAAATCTTCCTACCTGGTTCTGCTAAAAAGTCCGGGATTCGCTGAATGAAGTGTTAGATTTGAGCTGGGGGTGAAACCTGGAGGAAGACAGATCTCCAGGAGCAGGGTTCAGGATCATTGGTCCACCTCCTTGTTTCCCAAAGTTGTCCCTAGGAACCTCTAGATGGTTCACAGTTTTGCTTTGTCCCAGCTTCTGTCTCCCTCGCATCAACTAGTCAGTGTTCTTGATTGCTTGGTTCGGGTGTGTTGGAAGCTGTGGCAAGAAGCAAAGCTGTGGAGATGGAGTTCCCTGGAGAATGGATCGGGAACCACTGGTCCACACATTGGGCACCCTTCCTCGTGAAAGACTGATTGGTGAAACTATGGGCAAGATTCCTACATGCTTTAAAAATGAAGGTGCCCAAATGGGCTCTTAGGAGCGACCAGTGATTCTCAAACCAGTCGTCAAAGCCCACCAGAAGGCCCTTTCCAATGTCCCAACATGTAGAAATAACGATAAAATGTGGACTGTCTGGGGGCACCCTGCGTACTGGTTTGAGAATTACCGCCACTTTCTGTTCACCAAGGAACCTTTCAGTCGATGGATCTTTAAAGAAGATTTTTTGTAAATGACGTGGAAGCATGAAGAACCTTTTTAAAGTATAAAGTACGTCCACACGATGTAGGTTTTTCTTAGAACCAAGTACCATTCCTTTTAAGAGTGCAGTTGCTGAAGTTCTTGAAGGATCTAAGCTGAGTTTCAGGGTTAGAGAGTTGAAGGTAAACTCCTGACTTTTGCTGAGGAGCCAGATACGATGCAGCAGGCCCTTGACCGATGGGTTTTCCACCGGTTTTTCCGTCTGGCCCTGCGCATCGCATCAATTGCTTGCATTCCACTTCTCCGACTGCCGACTTCAGAACAAGAGTTTACACTGACGACTGTTACCGTCTGTCCAGACACCCAAACATAAACGCACGCATATAAAACATGACCTTGCAAAACACATGATAGTCGGTAGCTACGGTCTCACACATTTACTCAGTCATACACGCACACACATACACACACATTTTCATCTGTGTGGAGTTTACGAGGGCGCGTGGTCCCTCCAGTCCTGCTGAGATTATTTCATAACCTGCTGCGTATTTGGACGTGTAAGGCAAACACTGCAGATTAGCCGGGATTTTAGAAGCAACAACTTTAGACGTAGTCCGGTTTTAAAGTCGTAGATCTAGTCTGGATATGACACCAAACATCCTTAGAATAGCTTGGTTTTTAAAAAAAGCTAGAAAGAAGATTTCAGATTAGAATGGCTTTAAACATCAAGAAAAAAGGGACACAACGGCAAGATTTTTTTCTCTGTCTTGTCCAGATTTTCAATCTTTGGGAATATTCTAGACTAGAACGGAAATAACATATAAGACTGAGTAGCCTATTTTAGATTTGAGACAAATAATATGACTAACGTAGTTTAGTTCGCTCCAAATTTGCCAAAGGGAGAAGGTCTTTCTAGATGAGAATTCCAGTGCCGCTCAGCTACAGAAGTGGGTTTTGTATTTGTAACTGACCTTTTACCAACACCAAAAAAAATGCCCCTGAGAAGTTTGAAAAACATCTCGGTGATGTTTCTCCCCTGCCTGGGGCCTTTCTTATGAGTATTTGTACGTGAGGGAAGTGGGGAGGGTACCACCTGTGCCCTCGTCCACAGTGTCCCAGTCTTTTCTTGGCTGGCTGAGCATCTTACGATTAGCATTTTTTAAGGAATTCTGGGAATTGGAGTGCATCAGGGTTTGTAGTAGCTTGATTTGTGAAGGAGAAAAAGCTCTAAAACGGCTGTCCTTTGATTGCTTTCTTCATTTCCAGGGTGTTTGAGCACCAAAATGTGCTGGAGCCCTCTTGTTTTTCTTTTGTTTTTTTTTAATCGCCTAAAAAAATGGTTGCACTGGCTCTTGTGTTTTTTGACGGAAAATTGAATGATGTGGACGCTGAAGAGGACCCGCCCTCGTGCGGCCATTATCAGGACCCAACACCAACGAAAGCGACGTGATTTAAGACTCTAAAAATAGTGACTCGTTCTCCTGAACCCTGACGCTCGTTTCAAAAACCAATAGCTGAAGAGGAGGACGGTGGACTCATGCGAAATACAGCCATACTCCGCGTCCTGCTGCGGGTGGGAGGGAAGCCGCCACGGACTTCCCGTGCCTCCTGCTGCCCACGTCCGGCTGCTGAACGCAGCGACCTGTCTGGAGATGTGTCTGCACCTAAATGTGCGTGCAAGTGTATATGTGCGTGCGAATGCGTGTGTGTCTGCGCTCGAGGGGCTTGCCCGTGACGCCTCGGTGGGACGCCTCTACTGGGGCTGCGGCGTTCCACACCCCCCTCTAGTGGCCGTGTCTGCACATCGAACGTCCGGCCCACGTCCAAAGGTCCACGTCCGGCCTGTGGGTGCGACTGTGGGCGTTACTGCATTTTAAAGCCCGCGTGTGGCCGAGACCCCACCCCTTGCCCCTTTTCCCCGCCCCCAATGTCCATATTTGGAATGTTAACGTGCTACTTGTTGACACTGTGCATGGATGCTAACCTGTCTGTATATAGTAAGCAGTAACCCATTCGTTCATGTCTGTTGATGGAGGTTTGAAAGCTGTATAGATATTTGGAGATTTCTTTTGGTTTGTTAGTTTTGTTTTGTTTTGTTTGTTTTCCTCTCGTTACTAAGTTTTATTTCGAAGGAGTTTTTAATCTCTTGGTCTTAACTTGCACATGTATATGAAAAAGGCAGTATCTGTCGTTCTAGTCAGTACATGGGACTTTTAATCATAAGGGATGCATGGGTACTTGTACAATAATAATAATAATAATGATAATAATGATAATAATAATAATAATAACAATGCCTCTTCTTGCTTGTTGCCATGGTTGTATTATTTGACATTATAAGAGACTATTGTACATCAAAGGATATTTTGTCATTGAAGAGTTCATATGTATATACTGTACAGTTTGAATCCGAAGGCGAGTCGATTGCCTTGGCATTATCACAGAGCAGCGCATATTTATTTTAAACCCTTTGCTCAACTCAAGAATGACAAATATTGCCTTTTGGATGGGTTGTTCTGCTATCGGCGCTTGTTTCGTCCTTACTCCTTCGCTGAGCAGTGTGCGTGGGTGTCTGTCTGTCTGTATGGATGTATGTCTGGGGAGGTTTCTAACACTAATAAGACATAAGGGGACGCATAACATGTTTCAGTTTTGTGCCGGATCTTGAAAACGTCTCGGTAACATCTGGAGAACGTCTGTGAGATGTTGTGCCTGGTGCGTACGTGTATGTCATTTCGAGCCCCCCACCCCAAGACCCTTCTTTCCCCCACTGCTCAGATGGATTCTAGTTTTTTCAGGGGTTTAATAATATCTTTGATAATATCGTTTTATTTCCTCGCTTGCTGTCTCTCTTCCTCTCTCGCCCTCTCTCTCTTTCCATCCCTGGTCTATGTCTTCACTGACTCCTCGCGCTAACAGGCGTCCCGTGTTGGAACTTCGTCTGTAAACTGATCTGGCATGCTAGGTTATGATTCGATTTGGCTAATTTCACTGTCTCAGCCATCTCTGAAGTTTGCCGCAATCGTATAGTCATGTTTCGTGGCTCAGTGACAGATATGAATATCCATATTCTAAAGTAATAACTAGTTTGACACGAATGCAACACCTTTGCACTTGATACTACAATAGCATTCTTTTAGCAGCTGAATGTGTTCGAGAGACTGATGTCTCTTTCCTACTCAAATAGGTCTTCAATACAGCTCTATTTCAGCAATAAATGTGCTACTCAATTGGATTTAACTTTCGTCAACAGTCCGATCACGTGTGTCTGTACGTGTTGATGGTCCGTCATCATTCATAGCTTTTTCAGGGAAAGGAAAAAGACCACAGCTGGGAATTTCAAGTCTTAAAATCAGATTTTTAGGTCAGATTTGCTTGCAGTCGTTTAGATCATGTTAGTTCGGTGATCAGACTTTTTTTAGAGTTCAAGTTAAATTACATTTAGAATTCTAAGAAAAAAGATCAGATTGTCTCTCTTGTTTTAGTAATCAGAACACACTGGTTCCATGATCAGACGTTCGTTTTTTTTTGTTGTTGTTTTGTTTTTTCTTTGTTTATCTTTTTTTTGGAGTTACACTTCAAGAAAAAGATCAGATTTAGAAAAGTAAGAAAAAAGATCAGCTTCACTAGCTGCACTTAGTGATCTGACTCTGTTGGTTCTATGATCAGACCTTCGTTTTGTGTTTGGGTGTTTTGTTCTTTCTTTCTTTTCTTTTTCTTTGCACGTTAGATTTAAGAAAAAGATTTGCAAAATATCAGGTAAACTTCAAGAAAAGGGTCAGATTTAGAAGAATTAGAAAAAAGATCAGATTTAATTGCTTGTTTTGGTGATTAGACCACACTTGTTCCATTTTTAGACTTTAAGAAAAATATCAGATTCATCAAAAGAAGAAAAAAACAATTGGGTCAGATTTAGAAAAATAAAAAAGATCAGATTGACTCGCTGCACTATGCTGGTTCGATGATTAGACCTTAGATTTGTTTTAGTTTTGTTTGGTTGTTTTGTTTTTTTCTTTTTTCTCATTTTTTGTAGATAAAAAAGATCAGACTGGCTTGTTTTCAGACCACACTGGTTCCATGATGAAACATTGTTTTGTGGTTGGCTGTCTTGTTTGTTTTTCCTGTTGTTTCTTTTCACATATCACAGAAAAAAGATCAGATATTTATATAAATAAGAAAAAAAAAGTTAAGATTTACTTTCATGTCTTAGTGATCAGACCATACTGGTTTCATGATGATTATTTTATGCTTGCTTGTATTTTTACTTTCTTTTTGCTTGAGAAAGATAATATTTATTAAAAGAAAAAAAGATCAGATTTGCTTGCCCATATCTGATCACATTGATCCCATAATCAGACATGTTTTTTTTTCAGTTTGTGCTTTTTTTAATGTTCTTTATTTATTCTGCTGGTTAGACTTCAAGGAAGACATCACATTTTTGCCGGTTACACTTTTAAAAGTATTATCTGCTATTTAATGAGGAAAAAGATTAGACTTTCTTACAGGTCATAGAGATCGGACCATATAGTTTCCTTTGTACTTTCTGCTGGTTAGAAAAAGAAAAAGATTTGATTTATGTAAAGAATAAAGGGATCAGATTTGCTTGCTTGTATAAACACAGTCTTCGTGATCAGACCAGACTGGTTCCGTAATCAGACGTGACTGTTTAACGCAGAGTGTCAGTGATGTGTCAGGCAGTGTGGGACGGCTGATGATGTTAAAGCAAGCTGTTCTGCTGCTGTCTGTCATATAACCTCTCTCCTTCCATGCTTCTATCACTCCGTCTCTCTTTCTCTCCACCTGTCGCTCTCTCTTGCTTCACAGACCCCCACCCCTTTGTTTCTATTGATTGTCTAGTTTGTTTTAATTTGACTATGAAGAACTGAAGATCCTGATTTTGTTGTCCTGATTTTTTCTTTATGTTGCACTCAAACTAATAAGAAGGAAGTCCACTAACTGTGATTGCCCCCCATGGTACACCTCTACACAGGAAATAAAGTTTGGGATATCCTGTTTAGAGCCCATGGACTGCAGCGTCTCTTTCTTACAGCGATACACACTCATGGTTTACATAATCAGTTTAGTTCTTACGTATTGTTGTGTTTTATTGATGGATGCATCGATGCCGATACTAGTATGGAGTATCAGCCCAATACTGTGCTCATTTACTCATATTCTTACTCATAAAAAAGCACCGATACCAACATCCGAAACCATCTGATACCATGTGATGTAAGTCTAGTACAGGTGTTGGTAACATGCAGCTCTTTTACTGCCCTGTTGCGGCTCCACAGCAGAATTGGGCTTTAAGGTAAAAATAAAATAATCCTCCTTTACAGTAAAATAAAGCTCTGCTGGTCGTTCAACACAGTTTAACAATAAATAGTCTTAAATGCTGGAGTTAATGTACAACTGCTAATTCACCCTTTAACCCTGAAGGTTGGTGCGTAGACTGCTGGTCGCCATAGCAATGCAGACAACAACTTTGCCAAGCTAACATCTAACAAAACGGCAAAGAGAAAGATTTAAGACAAACATCGATAATTTAGAGATTATTTGCATTTATAATCACTCCAGCTGGTTTCCTGATATGTTTAATCTGCAACGAGAAACACTAAAACGTTGTGAACCTTAAGTCAGCTTCTCATTCACCAGCTTCTTGTTCGAATTTTCCCGTTCCACCTTAAAAGATGCAGCAGTTACATTCTGTTGCCTCAGGCACCATTTAAGGTGGAACGGGAA